TTAAGCCTGTTTACCAAATATCAAGTAAGTATCATATAAAATACTAAAAAGTCATACTATTTTATACGTATACAACGTAATACTAGGGCTTTATGTTCTAGCTTCTAGCATAATATTACTTTTAGAAAGCAATTATGCCTAAAAAACTTTTAACCTTAAATTTTAAGTTGAAATCAAATTTAAAAATTAACAGTAACACTACAGCAGGTAGCTGTACTCCTGCAAAGTGCTAGTACTACTACTAGCAGTGTAGTACAATAGTAGTTGTACTATTACTAGTACGGGTCGTGTAGCTTGATCTATACAGTAAGGTATATCATATAGTGTACCACAGAATGTCCTAGAACTTCATTACGCTAGATTTATTTGCCAACATTGATTTTATCTGATCATTGCATTTACTAAGACATAATATTACTATTAATTTATAAGCTGAGAAATATTTAATGCAATTTTTTATTTTGGGTTTTACTTTTAGTATAATTTTGGGGATTTTATTTTAGGGTACAAAACTATGCCAAAATGTTCAAAATAGTGGTAAATTTCATAATTTTTGTGGTATGTGTAAGAAAAAGAATGTATTTCATCCAGAAATCTAATGCATACAATGAATATCACACTATGGATTGTTAACATGCCTGTAGCATTTTGAATTATTGCTGACATATTTGTATTATATATATTTTTTTACATCAACTGGAAATACATACTACAGTCTTCTCAAATGTAATTTTATTAGATTACACAAAGTACCTGAATTCTTGATCATTAAAACTAAACTCAGAAAAATTTGCTGGTCAAACCATTTCGTATCATGTGGAGTAAGTGCACTCTGCATGTACTGTATTTGGCTGAATATAATGTGCACCCAATTTTGAATGGTTAAATTTAAGAACATTTGTTTTTTACACATCAGTTGTACAAAATGTATTCAATAGTTTCTAAATACAGTAAACAACTATCAATGTATTAAACATCTTTGGAAATCTTTCATTGAAATTTTTTTTTACGTCAGTTTTACAAAATTTATTGAAAAGTTTATATGTGGTAATACACTAAGCTAATCATTCATCTTCACATAAATTTTAACCATCACTAGAATTGTTTCCCATTGGATTTGCTTTCTTGAACCTTTGCTTCGTTCTCTTCTGATTCCCATAGCATTTTGTCATCCGTCCCATCCATTGCATGGGATATGCAACATTTTTTTGAAGTCTTTCATGATGCTTTAATGATTTTCAGTAGTAGCTTTTAGTAAAATACCTAATAAAATGGAAAGTGCACAAATATAATGTGCAGTCAATTTTTTGGGAAGCATTTGTAGGAAAAAAAAAAGTGTGCATTATATTCAGGTACATACAGTAATTGTTATTGGAGTGCTTTCTTTGAGGTACATAAATATCTTTCTTACATTCTTGCTCATTATACAGTGGGTCTGACCACTTTCAGGCTATTTCTTGCACTGAAAGATACAGCTTTGGATTCTTTCCAGCATTTCTTGGAGCCTTATCTGAATCAAGCTTATATATTTTGGTTCTGATGGAGGGCATCTTTTCTTTGTTGGAACAACATTATTTGTAATTGTAGCTTCATTAAATCTCTTTTTTTTTTTTTAGCTTTTCACTATGTACTATATCTCTATAACACTTCCTATGAAATACAGATCCAGGATATTGCACTGACAAAGACTATGCTATCACATAATGTAGTACATTTTGTTTTACTGAACAAAGTGCATTTTTATTGTAATCTGTAAGCTTTTCTAAATTTTCCTTACTTGAAGTTTTACTCAAGTCACTACCTTTACCTAAGCATATGATACATTCTGATTAAGCTTCATTCAGAGCATTCAAGTTTGGTTTATATTTGAACTGAATGGAAAACCATCAGCAAGCCCATAGTACTAGAATTTTGGGAAAAAAAAGGTTTACACATGCATTAGATACATTCAAACTGAATATTTGTTCACTTGATCAAAAGAATTGAATTACAAGAAACAGGAAAAATAGTCCAAAATTTGATGAACTGGAAACCCCCATTGATATTCAGAAATTAAGATATTTGAGGATATTTTACATTTGAGAAAAGTCAAAGGAATAGATAAAAAGTTTTTCCTAACCATGAGAAGACTAGGCCCATTTTTTAAACCTTGGAATGCCAGCATTAAATTTTCAGTCATGAACACTAAGTGGTATGGGGTTATAACTTATTGTGACCTCATGCTGCCATTCTAGGATTAAATCTGTAGTATGGATTATCCTCACAAACAAAACAGCTCTTTAGATCTGATGTCATTTTATATCAAGTCTTTTGGCATTACCAGTTTGTATGCAGAAATATCTTTGTGTGAAAATAATGGAACAGATTTTTTATTACCAATTTTGTTTATATGTAATGTTTTTTTTTTGCCAGTGCCACATCGTGTAAATAGAGTACTATATGCAGAGTGTAGTGAAAGATATTTCATGTACCTTGTCACGAATCATGTCTTATGTCTAATTACTATTTTTGCCATAAGGAAATAATGCAGATATAAGAAAAATGTACCTTGAAATTCTAGGATAGATGAATGTTGGGCTAGAAAAATTTCCTAGTCTGCAAAACACCTGTCAATTATGCATTAACCTTCAATACTATATTTGAAAACTATGGATAGTGCCAAGATATGGGGTGGGGCTCCCAGATAGGCTTAAGTACCAATGAGGAGTCATTTTAGTCATTTCTAGCTAATATTTCCAAAAAATTCTCAAAGATTTTTCCTAAAGAAAAGATGCAAGCCCCTCCCCCTCTTTGGCACCACCCCTGAACTTTCTGGGCAATATGTAGACTTTCTTATAATGCCTTGATGTTGTTAACAAATTGAAAGTAGGAAGTTAACAGTTAAAAATAAACCTGGCATTAAAATAGCACAAGAACATTTGAAAGATAGTACAGAAATGTCTATTTTCTAAAAAGGAAAAAATGGCGCCAAAGTTTTTCCTTTTTAGAAAATAGACATTTTTGTACTATCTTCCAAGTGTTCTTGTGCTATTTTAATTCCAGGTTTAAAAATCAATTTTGGCAGGAGAATCTAGTGGGTTAGCAAACCACTCTGTACTAGTAGCTAAATTGGGTAAAATTATATTACATTAGAGCTTGTGAGTAGTTGCCATGATGTTACAATGTCACATGATTGAAGGATTAGGACCAACTAGTGAACATAACAATGTTTTATGTTTGTATCTGTGAGTGCTTAAATCTCTTTTCTTTCTTTTTTTTTTTTTTTTACAAGTTGCTTACTACTAGTGCAATCTTGTATTGTTGTGGGGTGTATAAACAGATGTAGCATGGACAGTAAGATTAGAAAAATACACCGACAAAAGAAAAAATGAATCACAGGAGTCAATAGGAAACTGTCAACCAAAGTATGATGGTTGCATTTGTGGTCGACATTTCATATCAGTTAAAAGATATTTAACTGCCACATCTTTCTTAGTTGGAGGATGAAATGTGGTTATAATAGATTTAATAATATCATGAAGTCAGATAAAAAGTGAACAAAAAATTAATTATATATCAATTATATAACAACAGTATGCTACTGAACTATGCATTGAAATAAAATACAGTGACATAACATGAGTGTTTGTATTAGTTTTATACCAACATTTATTTAAGAAATAAAAATAAATGTACAACAGGCAAAATCTTATTAAGTGCTAGATGATTAAGGTGTACAGTCATTATATAGATTATAAGTATTTATAAATTTAAACCTACTGTCTAATGTTTTATTCAGCTAATACAGTGTTACTAAACAGAACATGAAGTCAAGTTTGAAATTGTAACAACTTTTTATGCTGAGAGAACTGAAGTGTCAAGTTTTACAAAAAGATTTTATTTTTCAGATACAATATTTTGTAATAATGCATCAAATGACAAAGTGTTGTTAATAATGTATGAAAGATCATCACTGACTTGAAACTACCAGTCGGGAACTACTAGTACAGCTGCCACTGTACCACTAGTTTAACAGGTATTACAGTATTACAACATTACATAAAGTGTAGCTTATTATAGACCACAATAGTAATGAAAAATGTTATCATGGTCTGTGTTTAAGAATGCGTGTATTTGATTTTATAAATATACATTCTGATAGTGACTATGTTTTAGTTAACTATATATGTTTTATTAAACTACATACAAGTAAATCTATCGGAATCATAGGCTCTAAGGAGCATGATGTAATATTAAAAAGTTAAAATTTCAAGTACTTGTGTACATATAATTAAAACACTCAAAACGCTGATTGTTTGAGTGTTCTAACAAGTAAATTCTAACATAATGTTTGACATAAATAATATTGCTAGGTGATTTTACCTTAATATCTTGCTCTTTAAGATTCTGAAGAGCTCCAAGTGAAGGACTAAAACTCAAAAAGGGAAATAATGATTTGTGCTTTAAGATTGATAAAAGTATGAGCATTAACATTTAGGCATTACATTATTTAAAAGAAACTGGTGGAGTTCTGCATAGGCCTACATATGCATGGAATAGTCTAATAGTAGATTGACAGCCAACAATTTATAAGCATAATGAAGTGGTTTGTTTTTAGGGAACATACTACATGTTTATTCAGGTATCAGAGCAGTGTTCTGTCAAAACATATAGTATATTCCTCAAAAATATACCGCTTCATTATGCCTACATACCACTGATTGTCACTTTACTGTTATATTAGCAGAATGTGTTTCCACATATAAGTATTGAATAGTCTAATTATACAGTGATAGCTAAGTGTGGATATCCATCTGCACTTAACTATTAATGTCATTGTAATCTACAGTAACCCAATAGCTGCTGTGTGAGCTATAAGAAATAATCTTCACATATATATACTTTAATACAAGCAAGGAATGTATGCATACATGTATGCCTTCAGTGATTTATTATATGCCTTTATTGTTTCTTTGGTGTTGAAACTGAATCCTAAATAAGGCCAGTGGCATGGGTCATCTGTCCATCCTCTATTTGAAACAAATTGGTCTGGTGATATAGCCTGTCCATTATTATGTTTAATTTAATCAACATAGCAGTATTTTGCTTCTGAGGTCTGTTCACGCACACTTTATAGTTTAAGAATCTTTGACAATGAATTGCATGGCTGTTTTTTTTCATAGTCACTGAGGAGTTTGCCATTGTTCAATGAAAAGTTTGCCTACCAAATCATTGTGCATATGTCATCATAATGTGCTTGTTTTCAAACATGGTTCCTCCTATATGATGATTACCTACCTAACATAAAAAATTTAGCATACTCTAAAAATCAATCTAGAAATATTATAACATGATCTGTTGTATGCACCAGGTAAATAAGATAAAAGCAAAATAAAAAAGATCGTGTTCCCCACTTTGGGGCCAATAATTATTTAGAAGAATAATGATCAAATGCCACTATTTGATTTGAGTATTCAAGAGTTGGTGGTGGGTTGTGTTGGCTAGTGGCTTTCAATCTAGTCTGCCACTTCAAAATTTGGGATGGCTAATGCAGATAACCCTGAGTAACTTTGTGCAAGATTCAACAAATAAATTATAGTAGTGGCATTTAATCAGTGGCCTGTAGGCAATCTGATTAGTTACATAATTTTCCTACTGATAACCATGTTGCATACATGCTTGATGTACAAGCCTTTGGTTACTACCAAGACATTTTGTGCACTCCCAACATTTTGTAAATCCATTCTTAAATATATTAGATCTTTAAGTGGTACTCAGACCACTGCTGTGTCTTTGTATTTAAGCCAATCTGATGAGCCGTGATAGTGGGCAAAAGGCCTCATTGGTACAAGATATGACAAATGTAGTGTGGTTGACATATTCTCTTTTACTCTCACTCATGGCTCTGGGAACAAGAAGACTAGCTTGCTGGTTTGCCAATTCTTGTGAATGATAGTATAGTTGATTAAAATTAATGTTAATAAATATAAGTAATCAATGTATGTTGAAATTAAGAAGTAAATAAATAATGCTGTGTTATTAATTCTTACTGACTTGTAAGTGATTTGAATAAAACTGTTAATAATAACAGTTCACTTGCTTGATTTTGTTCACACTGTAACAGCCATTGTTCATGAAAACTGGTAATGTATATAGTACATAGACCACAACTATGTCTGTTGTGTCCTAGTCAGTGTGATGAGCCCTGGTATGAGGTGAAAACCATCATTGGTACAGAATATAGCAAATGTAGTGTGGTTGGCATATTATAACCCATTCTCCTTTGCTTTCACTCATGTGTTCAGAGAATAGATCTGTTTTTCAGTTTCTATTATGTTTGTACATATTTCAAATTTTAATTATACTAACAGTTGAACTTACTTAGATCTCTCAACTCAGGAACTTGAACAGTTATCCACATTCATATCAAAATAAGTGTTTGATATTAGTATCATAAAATTTTTCTAAGATTTTGACATTATTTACATTATTTCTGTTATAGCATGTCCCATATAAACGACTTTAAATATCAGTATGGCATTAAATTTAATACTATTATTATGATAACTGATGCAGTTAATGATTATTTCTCACATAATAAATTATTTGAAAATTGTAAATCCTCTTTTGTACCTTAAAGTCTACAGTTGAGAGCTATTGAATAATAAATGTTTAAAGGTATAACTGAAACAAAATTACCACTAGTAAATGTTGTCTAGTGATGTCACACCCCATTGACCAATCCCAGCACTGCACCTCTTTCTAGCTAACCTTGTATCTATATTATTGGACTTACCTTGTCATTGAGTGTTTTGTTGTTGGTGTATATAAGTATAGGCTGTATTAGATATGATAATGTTGTTGTTTTATATATTTTTTTGTCTTTTCCAGTGAAATGCTTCAATCAGAAATGCGTAAAGAGAATGCTGTAGACAAAGAGTGGAAAAAAGAACAAGGACAAGAAAAACTCAGATTTAGAACAAGATCAACACTTAACACGTTTAGAACAAGATCTGATCTGACTTCACAAGCACATGATGTAGGTAACTACAATTTACGAGTAGTTTTTGCAATATTTGTAGGATTAGATGTAAGTATTACAAAATTTATGTTGCATTCCTCTTAGGTTACACAATTTGTCATTCATCTGATGTTCTACATTGGCACTGGTGCATTGTTGTCCAACTGTCAGGCCTGCCTAACCTTAACATTGAGAAATTATTACGTACCTAGCTCAGTATTTGGGCTATGGTGTAGTGTTGTCATGGTGGATGGTTGATGCAAATATTTTGTAACATCACAAAGTGCTTGAATTGTAATTACTTTAAATAGTTAAGAAGTAGAACTGCATAAGTGTAATGCAAGAAGTGTAAAATATACTTGTACTCATATATGTACATAAATAAACTGAATTGATTACCTTATTGATCTGTCAATAATTTCATCAAAGTTAATGTTTGATTATAATGTACCTTAAAACATCAATTCCGATATAATACTTATCTCTGCTAACACATTATCTTTTCCTGAGTTTGTGCTGCCCTCTATGTGCAAAATGTTGTTTGCTTGCCACTAGCCTTGAGTCTCCCACCTAAGTTCATGTTTCTACGTGCCATTGCTGTGCTGTAACATGCAAATAAGCATGTGACAACCCTTCACCAGTAAGAGTGCAATACATCCTCCTAGCACAGCTGACTCCCTTTTTACTGATTGTTCAATCCTCACTTCTTAATTTGACATATGCAAGTTTATGTGTGTATTTTTTTGCTTGTGCCAAAGGTTTACACAGTAGTTTCTGACATTTTTTTTTTTGTCTTTGGAAGGATTAGTTTGATTGCTTTTTTTTCTTTTCCACATTATGTAATCATAGGTTCATGCTACTACGAGTATGTCTTGTGTTGATTCACAAGATTATATTCATGCTGGACAGACAACAACTATGGCATCAGGCTCCTCTTTGTCTGCCAAGAAGGTATCGGCGATAGTGCATCAAGAGATGGAGTCCTACATGTGGCCTGATCCGTCATTTGACTCAGGTACAGATATTCCTTTACTTGTGGATCTGATTCACAAAGACAAGGATTTTGACAACCTTTTTCCTCTACCTGCTTTTACTACACTTTTCCAATCCATTGCCTTTGATCTACTTCGACCTACCTTGTCCTTCATGGACATGGTTTTTCAGATTAGTTACCTTTTGTCACTTTATCCTAGTCTTATGGTTTTTCCCTTTCTTTGTTGCATTATGGCCCTGCTACTGATTATTTTGTTTTCCCTCTTTCTCCTGATATCCAGGTCCATGGTGATCAATTTCTCTCTCATCTTTGTGCTGGTGCCAGCATGCCTCATCCTCCTCACTTGGCGGACGTACATGCTGTGGCCTATCATTGGGCTGAGTTTCCCTTTCTTGACTCTCAGAACTTGGAGTTGCTTATTAAAGCGTGGGGTGAGATCCCTTATCTTCTCATCATCTTTCCCCTGCCCAATTCTCCCATCTTCATGCTCACATGTACTACTCTATTACAATATCTCTCTTCTAACCACCTTCTTTCTTAGGCTATCCAGTGTTCACCTGAGGGATTATCTGCAGATACTCGTTTTCTTGTTTTTTCTATGTTGACACGTTTATCTTCTTTTGCTATATTTTTCCATACGTGATTGTTTTGTTGTTGGGACTTATTAGGCAGGAATGCCATACTTTCTCAAGTGCATTTGGCAGCTTCTTATCTCCAAAAACCTTTATCTGACTCCTTTCCTTTGCCAGTATGTTTTGCAAGAGTCCTAAATTCTCTGGAATCTTGTGTGAAGGCTGTGTGTCAACACACTTCCATTTCTTCTCTAGTTTCCTGTCCATCGCAAGCCTCTCCTGCACCGATTACTGTATCCCATCCTCCAGCTTCCTCTTCTTGCCATGTAGCCTTCCTTCTTTCTCATTCTATTCATTGTTCATTTTTCCTTGTTGTCTATCAATGAAAATCTCACATATTCTGTAGCTGGTCTCTGCATCATGCTTTCTCTTCTTCCTGGCCTTCTCCCCCCCCCCATATTTCTGAATTTTTTACATAGCTGTTCAACCAAGGCTTCCTTTTCATCCTCCACATCCTGCTTCCATCGTGATTGGGACCTGAATGATGTTAACCATCCCTTTACCCTTCCTACCTTTGAACTTTTAGCCTCTTATTCATTGTACCATCTTTTGCTTAAATTTATTTCTTACTTCTTTTTGCCTGTGACCATAGGAGATCTAATGTATAAGCCATTGATGCTTCCCATATTCTTCTCCATCATTCTTATATTGTTCTGTATCTTGATCATGATTTTCTCTCTGAAGTGTCTGTGGCTTGTGAGGGAAACAACAGGTTCACCCCATCTCCCTTTGGTTTCATCCATTTCTCACCTTTATTCTCATTTTGCTCCTGATTGTTTTCTCTGTCCCCTCCATGCAGTTAGATATTATTTGGCCTGCATGCCTTTTTTTGTTGTTGTTCACAATACCGTCTTTTTTTCTTTGGAACTCCTCTTCTACTCGAGATATTTTACCCATTAATCTCATGGGTATTGGCTATGGCAGCTCATCTGTCTAGCTTATATTTCTTTGGACTTGGATTCACTTCAGCTCTTTTTAGATATCTCTCTGGCTGCTCACTTCTCTCATCCATTGGAAGAGATTGTACAGGCTGGCATATGGACTACCCCGCATACTTTAATTGAACATTATCTTAATCATATAGCCATCTCTTCTTCATCAGGATATCGACTTCTTCCAGTTGCCATTCTACATACACCTTAGTGTATTCTTTCTCTCTTCCCTTTACAGGGGCCATATTCTACATCCCAGGATCCTGCTGAGTGGCATGTGGTTTCTGGCAGGGTATATTTATATTTAAATCTACACCATGCAGCCATTCAGCTCTGTAATGTTCACAGATGAGATGGGATGTTCTACAGGATCATTAGAGGTTTTCTCATGGTATATTATTTGCTAAACAAGGCCTGATCTTTACCATTCCTACTCATGGAGTATTATGAGTAAAGCGGTGTCAAGATTGTTGCCTATCCCTCTGGTCCTAATTGGATAAACTGGGACTGCTCTTAAAAATAGGGTTTTGTGGTCAGCCATTGCACTGTTTTAATGTGTTGTGTTCCCCCAGGCTCCACGATGAGCTTTCATACCCCTTCTTCTATTGGAGTATGGGAGTTCTTGCCACTCACCAGATCCTAGCCACTGGGCTGGTGGACCATGGAAGCTTCCTCCTGAGTGTTATCAATTCTACTCTGAAGAGAGTAAGGTGGTACTGTTCTGTTGGTGTAGATGATGTGTACAACCCTTCTACCATGGAATGAACAAAAAATTCCCAATGCTGTCTGGTTTTGGACTTATGATGACCCACCACATACAGCTCACCTCTCTGACTGGCTTCCCTCATTTTACCACTGCCTGGATGTTGGTTCCAGGGTGGTCTGGTGTTGGATAGGCACAGGTTCAACCAATATAAGTCCTCTTTGTGATTGGTATAGATTCTTCTCCTCCTACCTTAGACAGGAGTTGATTCATCATGTTATCTTTCCCCTATCCTACCATTGCCCAGATGTTGTGTTCCCAGGTGGCCTGATGTTGGATGTGTGCAGGGTCAGCACACATGGACACTACCTAGATCTACAGAATGGAAATTACTTTTTCCTTCTGCTTTGTGGTATAGAGGTGAAGATAGTTGGGACCCTCCTTCTACTGTGGACCAAGTTAAAAATACCTGATGCTTTTTGGTTTTGGACAGAAGTTGACCCGACATGTATGGTCTGACATGCCCTAGCCACACTGCATCATATGGCCTGTCTATATTTCATATTTAGAGTCTGGACTGTGCTTGTTTTCTTCTTGACTTGGTGACACAGATTTTCACTAAGGGTGAAGAGTACACCTTGGTACAGAAGAAGTGTGGTCTTCCATGGGTGTGCCTCTATACTTTTTCAAGGTATAGGGTGTCACACTCCATGGGTTCTCTTCAGGCATTTTCTGAAGGGGGCTTATCTAGGTAACTTTTGCAATGGTCCCTTCACCACTTCAATGTGGGATTCTAACTAATATGTAAGAAGAGGTAAGGTATCATATCGGAAATTAACATTTCTCCAACACTGAAAATGTATTTCCGATAGATACTTGTCTCTTTTTCACACTTCCCACCCATCCTCTTCACTTCTGGTGCATCTTTTTTTGCCTAATCTCTAAGTGACGATTGAACAATCACTATAGATGGAGTCAGCTGTGCTGTGAGGGTATTTTGCGCTCCTATTTGTGGAGGGTTTTTTGCATGCAACAATGCAGCAATATTACATGAAACCGTGAATTTAGGTGGGAGCTTCAAGGCTAGTGAGCAAATAAAATTGAGCATATAAAGGGCAGCAGAAAATTGGGAAACCAATATGCAAGCAGAGGTAAATATCTATCAGAAATACATTTTTTAGTGTTTTAAAATGTTAACTTAACCCTTTCCACATGGGTCATGGGCAAAGGCCATGTCATCACATTTGTTGACTCGCATTCAAAATTTGATTGAACTACTATTTTATAAATTTATGTCAAAAAGTTTGGTATCAACTGTAACTTATAATTCAAATGTTAATATTAGAGATTATTTCTTAATTTAAAAGTAAGAAATTAAAAAACACAACCTAAACATTGATTTTTGTGTGTTACGTGGTATGTTGAATGCAGCACTGATTCAAATTAGATGTTTGTGGTGTCAAATTACAAAGTCTATAGTTTCGTATGAATTAGGAAACCAAATTACCAATATTAACAAGTTGGAATATAAAATAAGAACCTCCTATCTTTTCTATTTGCCAAGATATTGTTCATGTTCTGAATCAAACACAGTAGCCCTACTCACCTCTTTGCATTTTTGGAATAGCTCCCTTATATACACTTACTTCTGTATATGACATGTGAATAACCAATTAGAAGCTCAGAATGTCTTCCTAGTGGCTTTCTCAGCCACTTTTAAGTATTACGATGTCACCTCATTCTTTCGATATGAATCT